CTTAATACAATACAGTAAGACCCCGCTTAACGCTGTTTCGGTTTAGCGCTCTTTTATTTCAACCCGGGGATTCCACGAAATCGCTCGCAGCATACGGGGATTCCCCGAAATATTATGCAGCGATAGGTTTCAAATACATATCCGAAAGAGTGTACTTGTATTTCTTGTTTGGTGCGGTATTGTACAGACATATTTTGAAGGGGTAAATGTGGAAGATGTCGAAGAAATAATTCAAGAAGCAGCGGCTTCAAGGCTTCAAGGAATTAACTGAACAAGAAGAACAAAAATGTTGACAGCAGTGATTCAGAAGAAGAGCAAAGAGAACTTTCGATGGCGTTTGTAAAAAGGAGTTTGTCTACCATAACTGAAATAATGGATCAATTCATTGAAAATGATCCGAATTTTGACAGGAGCTCAAAAATAAGGCGTGGTGTTAGAGATGCTCTATCCGTTTATGAAGAACTTTTAAGAGAACAACGCAAAAGAAAAAGGCAAACAACATTAGATGCTTTTGTCACAAAAAGGCAGAACACTGAAAACGCGGAAGGCTAACTAAATATGACTGACTGAGAAATTTTTTTTTTTTGTTTTTTTAAGAATATTCGTTTTGTTATTTATATTTTGTTTTTATTTTTGCAAGAAATAATAATGTGGTATTAATTTGGGCTTTAAGAAATAAATGTTTGGTTTTATTTTTATTAAAAAACATACTTTTTAAATTTAATACCTAACCAATTTCCTAGCCATCTTCCCCTAACCCCAATATTTACATGTAAAGATAGCCTCGTTTAGCGCTGTTTTGCATTACGCTGTACTTTGATGGAACGTATCCCCTGCGTTAAGCGGGGTCTTACTGTATTATGAGGAATTTTTATAACAAATATTAAGTATTAAAAATACATTCTATAAATAATTGAACATTGATCGTTACAAAAGATATTTTAGAAATGATATAACATAAGTTGAAATAAGAGATACAATGAATAAGAACAGTAATATTTCAAAAGGAGATACAAATTACAGATACAATTCTAATTCATTGTGATAAATATATTCCATAAATGTTGCCAGTAGAGAACGTCCCTTGTCGTTCATTACTAAGCGTTTCAAAGTTTCCAGAGTCAAAGCTTGATTGAAGATTTCTCGTCGTTTGGCTGAGACGCTTGGACATTCTACGATCATATGAAGAGCATCTGCAGATTCATATCCGCACTGACTTCAACAAGTCGTTGCTTTAAGCTTGAATCTATTTATGTAGACCGGAAAGGCTCCGTGATTAGTGATAATTTGATGTAGGAAGAAATCACTAAGATGTCGTTTTTCCGACACTTTTGGTAAGAGCATATATGCGTGGCGTCCTGTTCCTTCATTATTCCAATTTCTTTGCCATATAGTAGATATTTTAATCTTGGCCATCCTAACGATGAAGCTCATAGGAATCTTGCATTGTAGTTGATTGGTGGAATAGATCCCTTGTTTGGCTAATTCATCAGCCTTTTCGTTACCGGTAGATCCTTGATGTCCACGTATCCAATAGAGTTTTGCGTTTGTAAATGATAATAATTCCTTTATCTCAATAATATTCTTATTATAGATATTATATTTACCTATAGACTTTAGTATGGCTTGGCTATCCGAGTATATATGCGCAGATCCGTGATTTGCTTTAAGCCATACTAACGCCGATTTTAATGCTTGAGTTTCGGCTTGGTATACTGAGCAGTTCCTATCTAATTGATACATAAATTGTTCTTGACAAGTGCCATTCCTAAAAGAGCAAAAGCCCGCTCCAATACCATCTTCATTCTTAGAACCTAGTTAGTTACTTTATAACGGACAGATTGAATCTGAAAGTCGAATATAACAGACAGATTGAATCTGAAAGTCGAATGTCTTATACTTTCCTCAATGCAGACACACTGGCGTGGGCAGGATAAAAGTACATTTTTCCGTGGAAAGGCAATACATTGCCTAGGTTTGTTTGCTAAAAATTCATTAAACTCAGGCAAATCGTGAAATAAATTTTAAAACAAAAATCAGGATTTTAATAGGAAATTCGGAATGAACATTTTTTAGCTCTAAATGCTGCAGTTTTTCTCTAACGCGAGAAACAAATATTCATACATAAATACAGCTTATCTAATAATGGAGGTTTCATCGTACGTTCTATACGCATAATATATGTGGTGCAATGTATAGTTGTTAGCGAAAGCACTAGAGTGGAATATCCTTGTTCGAAGTCTTTTATAGTTCGTAGTGAAAGCACAGGAGTTTGAATCGAAGCTACATCATTTAATTAATGATACATCTAATACTGTAAGCACATTCTGTAGAGCTAAGTGGATCCTCAAGCAATGCGAAAAGCGATTTTGCGTATAGGCATTACCTTAATTGTCTCTATTCAGTTTCTTCTAATTCTCGATCATACTGTCAGAACATGTACCGATGTCTTCGCAATGTTGCATCCAAATATAGATGTTTTACTCTTTCCACCGAACACCACTTTCATAATCGAAACAACGGATCAAGGACTCATAAAAACATTCAAAATAAACATAAAAGCGTCTTAAATCAGGCATGTTTACATCTCTGCAAATAAAGCATTAAACGAAAAAAGCACAACACACTAATGACATTTTGGAAGCAATTCAAAATGAGGCTGTAAAGACATAAAGATTTTGTTAAGCAGGAGACGTGAAAAATGTACGATTCCCGTGCTAGGACTCGAACCTAGGCTTCTCGAATACGTGCCGAGTGTGCTAACCGTTACACTGGGTTTTAAATGTGGGTTTTAAATATCTGTGGTGTTCAATGTTGTGATTTTGTGTTTGTGGTTTTTGTTTGTTAGTTTTGTGTTAGATGTGCTTCCTTATTTTTAATTTAGTTCTTTTTATTTATTGTTTGGGGGCAGCTGGGTCGCTGGCTGCCCTCGTTTGTGGAAAGACGAGGTCCTTTCTTTTGAGGTATAGGACACTCGTGTACAGGTGGGCTGAAGGGAGCTTCCAAATCTTACAATTCTTATAATTCTTACCTTATATACTCCGACCGACCTTATATATACCCCTTTTACCAAATCGACCTTATATACTCCCTCTTTTAAAGGGCAACTGGAGATTAAGGAACCCAATCGCCAAATTCTGGTGGTGCGGAATCTTCATCCACCACCTAATGAGGCCACGAAATCAAAGAATGAGTTGAGATTGACGATCGTGAAATACCGAATAAAAAAGTGGGTGATCTTGCAACAGCAGCCGGCAATGAAAGCAGCGTTAGCGAAAAAGAGGCTTTAACGAACAAAAAGTTAAACAATTTATTAAAAAAGGTACGAGACTGTCTGATTTTGTAATAGAAATTGACCCGAAGGAAGAAAGAAAATCACATTTTTTTTAGATGGATTGAAAAATTGCCCCTTTTTTACCGTAAAACTTTTAATGAATTGCCTCAGACACTGCCCCAAGCAAAAATCAACAGCTATTTAAAAATTATTGCTTCGCGTGCAGGTTATTTTAAGTTAAGTTTATTTTAAAGTTTGTAACAGTATTTTAATTTTTAAACATGCTTTACTGTCTTTTCTCGTTTCCCACCTACTATACCCAACCAGAATAAGTTTATACGTTACGTATAAATGAGGTAAAAGATTATTTAAAGGAAGGTTTTACTTACTTCAACAGAATAGCTTAGGAGTCCTTAGTGTGTTTGCCGTCAGGCTACTTTGCTGTCTAAAACTAACTACGCTCCTATTACATGCCTCCTGATATTCACCGGTTAATTTAAAGGAGGGCCAACTGCGTTAGATAATTTAATACAGCTTCGGCTAAATTCAGTTTAGTTTAGCCTAAGATTAGTTTCTTATTTTCTTGTCTTGAGTTTCTAGTCTCGTGCTTACAGAAAAGCCTACACCACTTGTCTTGTTAAAGCAAGAGTGTAGGCTTTTCTGTAAGCACGAGAAAGGGGCCATCTGTGTTCTTAGTTTGAGATGATAAAGGATGAGTTTAACCCTTCTCTGGACTTTTCATTTACACACTTGGACTCAGGGATAAGTCACTACATAGTTCAACGAGGCTTCTACTATGTTAAGCATAGAAAAAGTAGTTAGAACCATTTACAATGAACCTACTTATTAAGCAGCAACAGAAATCCTTTCTATTAATATTTATTTCATTTTCCCCTTTTAACTGTAATTATAAATTAAACATACTTTCTCAATGTGAAATAAATATAACCCGTTTTTTGCGTAGAAAGTTAACTTTACGGAACGCAATTTTGTCATTCGGAGAGTGTGTTAATGACGTAACGCTAAGTTTCAACAAAGTTTTACCGCATTCGAATACAGCCGAACTGTTTCTCATCACAAAGGTCTTCTGGTTTAGTACTCGAAGAAGAAAAAAAGCGGAAAATTTCTTTTATATTTAACAGTTTTTAATTTCGCAAATTAAATAGACACCATCGTCTTAGAATCTAGTGAATCGTTTCGACCCTTGGGAACCCATGCTTGCCACTTTGGGAATTGATGGAAAACCGATGCGAAGAAAAAAAGTGCCTTCATTTACCGCTGGGTGTTTTCGAGAAGCAGGTCGCAGAAAACGTAAACATTTCCCATTAAGAAAACACATCAGCCTACGTTATTCATAGATCGAATATCTAACCTCACCCGCATACCACGACCTACATTCATAAACTTAGAATCTGACACACATTATTTGGATGACTAATTAGATGCAAAAGAAAAAGATTTGACGATTGTTTTACTTCTCTTATTTTCTCGCGATAGTCCGACCCAACGGAGCACCACCTCTGCACCGAGTGGTGTAAACGGTAGCCTCAACCCAGCTGTTTTGTTGATAATTTTTCATTATTATTTGCCCACTGCAATCAAATGTGTGTTGCAATCTCCTCTGAAAAGGTCATAGAACTCTGACGGACTCGTTCCATCGTGACGTCACTCCATCTTCAGGTTCATGTAGGTCATGGTGATGCAGGAAGCGTCAAAGTTGTCGGACCAGGCAACCTGACGACACAAGACCTTTACAGAAATCCCGTTCCCGCATGCTCTTTTTGTTTCACTTTTTTTTATTCGTTTCATAAGAGTGGAAGAAACACCTTAGCTCTTATTTTTTATTACCCGCTTTGCCTCTTTGACTTCTTAGCATTCGCTAAATGGTGCAGTGACTTGAAGAACTCTGGAGTTAACCAACCAAGTGCAGATGATTATATTATTTTTTGTACGCATTGTTTGTGTTTCTTTTTTGTTATCCACACCGTAGTGTTGTGGGTGGGCAGAGTGGATACCTTAACATTCTGCTGGTGTATGCATTTGCGACCGCAATTCTCTTTGAAGTGACCATGACTGTCCGTTCGTTCCTCAACTCCCAAGGTGAATCATAAGCATCCAGAAACAAGTGCAACAAGAGTGCGAGATTTGTAGTGGGTGACTAGTATTTTGTATTTTAAAATCTTCATAGGTAATCAGTGATAACTTTCTTTTGACTGCACCAAGACTAAGTGAATATTTCGCCGCAAAATTTTAATAGATTTGGATTAGAAATATAACCAATTCCATAATTTCGAATAATAGTTTGTGAAAACGTAACATTTATCCGTGTAGTGCATGTAGAAAATTATAATTATCCTATTTAAACTCCAACCGTTGTTTTCGCTAATTAAATCTTGAGACGTCCGAAACATAAATACTGAAGTAAAGCAAATACTCTGCGACATTAATTTACTGTGCTTAATCTAACGGCAGATGGAATAAAGCTGGTAACTGCATTGAAAGTTTTAAAAATAAGGCTTATATTTAAATCTTTTAACAATAATTAATTAATTATATTAGTTTCCTTTATCGCCGGTTCGTATTTGTTTATATTTCAACATTTTCATATTATATTTTCCCATGCAAAATTCTTTTACGTTTACATTCCGTATATATTCCGTTTATATTCCGTATATATATTTACATTTCAATAATTCCGTAATTTATGGAAACTGAAAAATCCTCAGACAATAAGTCAAATAATTAGTTTGGTAGAATTTAAAATTGAATATATAAAATTGCGTAAGGCGTTTATAAAATCTATCTCTTTCCTAATTTATATTTTTCTGTTATATTTACAACTGTTTTTAAATCGAATTATTTCAAATTAAAACTGTTGCAAAATAAGAAAATATTAGGCTAATATTTGACACAATTTCACAAAATAACATTTCAATTATTTAAGCTGTTTACTTCAGATACGCATTTTAGTGTATTAAAATTTAAATTATTTATAAAAAGTGGATAATTTCTTCAAAATCAATTATTCCCCCCGCCATCTGGAACTAACTATTAGAAACCGAGCACCAATAATGCAATCTTGAGGACTTATAAAACGAGGAAAATAATACCACGAACACTAAACGTACCGGACATATCAAATATCAATTCACTGCTACATTAATCTTACAATTAAAGTTTGCTAGAAGAGATAATAAGAGTAACCCTATTCTACAGCAGCTGGTATTAAAAGCGGTTGTAAAATAAATCCGAGACAGCAGTATACTGACATGTAATTAAATTTACTATCTCGATAATGAAGGATACTTCAAAAGTCCGCGGATCAGTTTCAAAGGATATTTTAGTTTCTTCGTAATCATCAGAACTTGCTTGTTTATGCTCACATCTGTGCTTTTCCTAAGAACTTCAGAATTGGAATCCCGTTGTATCTGATTATGGACTCTACAAATTTTTTCAGTATATTGATACATCTTGCATGGATTTTGGCGGTCACCGTTATGGTAAGTCTTCTTTAATTAATAAATAATATTCTTATATGGGTTGCAATGCTTTGCTAATGAATTTTCAAACGAATCAAGACAAAATATTCTAGTATGGCAGTACTTTAAATTTTCCCACCTGTTCATATTCGTCTGTAACTGCGAAATTTGTTTGAGTTTTATTTATTTTATATTTTAATCATTATGTTTATTTCATACTTTATTATTTCATATTTATTATAGGGACAATTTGCCCAGAAGGCTTATTGATTTCGTTTTGGCATTTTGCGTTGGTTCACTATAAAGCGTCGTTTCACTTTTCAAATTGTTGCCACCAAATATTAGGCATCTGCATTATATTTAAAGAAATTAAATAACGAAGAATTTGCACGAATGTATGTATGTTTCTTGCATTGTGATAAAAGAACGGTACCTAGATGCATCCAATTTTGAACAACGTAGTCCTTCATTTGAATACGAGCATCTGGAAGCCCAAATTTGGAATTTTTATTATCTATTTCATATTTTGTAAAACTCTAACGAATATTTGATTAACGAACTCAACGATTTAAAGACGAGCAATGTCAACACTCTACGAAAAAAATTTTTTTTTACCTCCAGCGCACTACATTGTGTATCGGAAATTATAAAGATATGCTCTTTTTAAATATTTTTTGATATTTCTGTTGAATTGAATTTTATGGTTTAAGTTCGAAAAATATAATATTTAATGAATAACCGTAACACACAAAGCGTTAAAAAATGCCCCTTTAGGCACAACATAATATCCGAAAGCGTTCAGATTTTTTCCTTTAAACTATATTTTTTTTCGCATTTTTATGCTTTCTAAAATATAAAATTTCTAAATAAATAAAATTTTCTTTCTAAAATAAATAAAAAATATTTTATGCTTTCTAAAATAATAAATAAAAAAAAATTATGCTTTCTAAAATTTAATTTTTCTATTGTTTTAATATTTTAATAGCTTTTAAATTTTTTATATGCTTTTAAATAAATAAAAATAAATAAAATAAATTAAAATAATTTTATTTCTAATAAATAAAATAAAAATAATTCTTTTTAGAAAGCATAAAAATACGAATTATTTCGCATTTTTATGCTTTCTAAAATCTTTCTAATCTTTTATGCTTTCTAAATAAATACCTGTATTATTAACTTTAAACGATTATTCCTTGAAATTCTTAATTCAAATGGTTATGCATTTTTAGCCTTTCGCTTATAAATTAGTTTCTAAACGTAAACATAAGGAAATTTCATATATTTTCTTGAGAGTTACTTAGCCATACTGTACGATAGATTAATATTTTCTTTAATAATATTACAGAATATATTTAATGCTTGGTGGTCACTTGAAGCTATGTCATTTCAAGTGAATTATCCTTCTTTCAAATAACCTCTAATACAAATAGAACGAAATTAGTGAAAGCTATGCTCATAAAGTTGTATTGCTGAAACTAAATTTAATGAATATTAATAAATTGAATAAAAAGGAATCTGAAAGGTTCCAGAGCTCGCAGTCTACTTAGTCTGCTATTGCACTCGCTCCTGCACATTAAGTCCTTTAGTTTCATTATTAAGCATCATTTCTTTCACATTTGCACCTAATACAATTCAGCAGAAAAAAAAAAAAAATGTTTAACAAATTTAAAATTCACGATCTCTACAGTGGCGCCCGAACTTAAACATGGTGGACAATAATTTGTCACCACCAGGATTTGGCGATTCGGTTCCCCAATTCCTGTCGCCTTTAAAAAGGGGAGAGCATTTAAGGTATCTCCCTCCTTCCAGCATGCCTTCTTGGTGTAATAGTAGCACCCTCGGCGTGTATAAGAGAGGTCCAGGTTCGAGTCTCGGCGAGGGGATTGCTCATTTTTCATGTTTGCTGCTTCAAAAATCCTAATGATCCTAATGATTCTACAAGCATAACACTATATAACTGAAATACTTTTGCCAACGTTGATCAGAAATTTTCAGGTTAGCTTATAAGATATTTTCTGCTATCTTATCTGCATGCCTTCGTCGTGTAACGGTAGCACACTCGACGCGTTTTTGAGTGGTCCAGGTTCGAGCACCGACATATTTTTCACATCGTCTGCTTCAAAAAAACCTAATGACTCTACAAGGTTTAAGTATAAAAGCTGCTTGTCGTCTTTTTTAACGCATCATAGTGCAAATAAAGATGCTTATTATTTTCTGAGTAAGATTCGCAAAAACCATTTTCCAGATGGATAGGTGTTTCATAAAGAATAGGAACTATTGCTCAAGACGGTTCACTAGGCGTACGATCACCAAAAATTAAAAAAGGTTGTAGAGTCATTAGGCTAATTAGAAGCAGAAAAGATGAAAAATATGCAACCGCCCTCGCCGGGAATCGAACCACGGACCTCTGGAATACCGGCCCAGCGTGCTACCGTTACACTACGAAGGCACGCTAAGGAAGTGGGAGAAATACCTTATAAGGTAACTGATTCTTCTTGTTTTCTTTGCAAAGTTCGATTATTCTACGAGACGTTGAACATTATAATAGTTTTCTTTTGTTTTATTTCCATAAACGACAATATATTTGTTTCCTATAAATGTACTTGGCAAGATTATAATTCTTTTCCCTAATAACGATATCTATTTGTTCATTATATTTAAAATTTGATTTTGAACTCGCATTAAACTCAAAAGTGGTTTATTAAAGTTACCCCAAAAGTGCCGTTAAGGATGGAAGTAAATTTCAATCGAAGGAAAAAGCAAATTACCTAATAAAGAATTCATAGTAAAACATAGAAGCGAAAAGAAATTTACTAAATGCCATTCTCTAATATTGCTTTTGTATGCGTGTTTATTATACCTGTATTATGCAATCTATGAGTCTGTCTGAAGTGTTAATAGTGATGTTTTTTTTTACCTATGTTTAGTGTGCAATAAAATGTATTGATTTCAAAATTTAAATTCCTTCTTTATAATTGAGGCATTTTAACCAGTTGTAGGGTTTTGAGATGTTACGGATTCTGTTCAAACTAAGAATTAATCTATTATTTTCTAATATCTTAAGTAACCAATCATCAAAATTTAAATTGCATTTGTCATGTCCCAGAGGAATAATTAAACGTACATTATTTCATGGAATATTTTATGAAAGGATTCATGGAATATTTTCATAATTGAATTATACATCTCAAATATTGCATAAATAGTGAATCCTCGAAAAATCGCACGAGCAGGTTGGACATTATTCCAATTTAAATACTGGCACTGAAGCAATTAATTTCGTGAAGCAGAAACTGTCCGATGCAGTTTACAATTCACAGAGTTACAATTCATATTTTTGTTAAATCTAACTGGTAAGACTAAGATAGAAGCGTCCACCAGCGGCTGAACACTGGTGCTTCGGTCCGAGGTTCGATTCCTGCGAAAGGAATCCTCTACAGTTAATCTACATCTAAGTTCCTTTACATTTTAACATAGACAAAGTACTGATGGTCATTATAAGCTTAATGTTGATACATGACCTTGGTAATTGTCCCGTATAGCTAATGTATCGCCTCTTCATTTGTCATTCATCATTTTCTTTCTTTAAACTTTCGATATCGAATTTGGTTTTTCACGCTGTTGGATAGTATATTTCACTTTCTTTGCGGAGGCTTTGGATTTTGCACAAACATATTCACGGATCCCCGTAAGCCAATAATGTATTATTTGTTGGATATTATAATATGATTTTCAACTTACGAGTACTCACAGGATCTAATTATGCAAACAGGAAATAAAACAAAACGTAATAATACCAAAAATACACACATTGAGTATAAAAGTCGTAATAAATAATATTAGCGATTTTTAAATTACATCGATTGAATTTATGTTTATCATTTTCGTAATCCAAACCATCTTATCCGTGAGACCAATTTTATTTGCCAAAATTAAATACTGTTTTTTTACAGTATTTAATTAGTTAATAGTAATTATATACATTAGTTAATAGTAGTTGTAATAGTCATTAAAATGCCTAGCGTTTGATATTTATGTCATCAACCATCTTGCTCCCCAATTCTAGCCCACAGGAATAAAAATATAAAGTACAGTACACGAACAATAAATTATGAGCTAAAGTGAGTCAAACTTTATGCGTGAAACAGAAAACAAATTTTCCTAAAGGTATACGAAATACATAAGTTTCACCAGAGAACATCCTTACTGAAGTGATTCAGATTACATCTATGAAGTTATCACAGATCATTTAGATGTTGCCAATAAATTACACATTATACACATGAAGAATTTTGGGGTGTGGATTTAGACTAAAAAGAATCAGAAGAGACGTATTTTTTTTTCTGAGTAGTTGTTTTTAAATTTTCAAACACACTGATAATAAATTACGGAAAACTCAAAATTGTCATTAACTGTGCTTTCGAATTGTATAAATTTCTTTATGAAATGGAATAGAAATGAAGAGAGCAAAACACTGTTAAAAATCTTTTAGGTTGATGACAAAACTGCTCTTAATAATAGCTTATAAAAAGCAGTAAACTTTAAAGTGTAAGTTATTAGGAATATATACCCAGGGCAAGGTTTCTTATTCTCTGGTCCACGGACCTCACGTGGTCCTCGAAGCCTACAATTGTGATTTTCCTAGATTTCCAGAAAAGACAAAAAACAGACTGTTTCAGTGCCCATGAGAAAATACATTGGTTTGAGAGGACATTTTGTGTATGAGGCGGTTATACAACACAGAAAAACATTTTCAGGCTTAACATTTCTTAATAGAAAATTAATAGAAAATTCCATTATTGGAAAAGAATTATGCAGTGGCATACTTTGGCTTCTCGAATTTCTGAGGTTATTTAGAACTCATATTACAGGTTCTAAAAATAGCGAATTTTCATGGTTCCGTGAATTTTTCCATTAGTTCAACAGCAATATCACAAAATATTTAAATGAACATATCTTTAGAATTTCCGATACACAGTCTCGCGCGCTGGAGATGAAAAAATGTTTTGTTTTTCGTACAG